TACTATTTCCTATTAGAAAGCTTTTCGTTCTTGAGATCTGCCATCCTTAGGTCTAGAATATTCTCGTATTCCATGGGGGGTTTTGAGAATCACATTCCTGAGAGAAATGCGCTTTCCTGATAGTTCCAGGAGCTCTCAGAACAATCCATATGGCTGGAATCTTGAGCACGGTTCGCGATAGTCCCCGGGAGAAATGAAGACCAGAGGAGGACCAGCAGCCAGAGGCAGACACGCTCTCCAGGAGACAAGTGAGCGGGGCTGGAGCTATGTTAGACCAGCCAAGGGTAGCCTCTGCATTAGAGCCTCAGTGACCATCCCAGGAAGAATGAAATGTAAAATCTATCCATTAATTGCAGTCAAAACACATTTCTGGAGTTGGATTTCAGCCACGCCCCCATGACTGTCCATGAGATTCCTAGAGGGGCTGTCCATGTGCTGTGTTAGGTAGGGTCCACAGCAGACTACAACCGTCCTCGGAACTGTTGCTTCCTACCTCCCTGATTGCAACTTCCTAACTTGGAATGTGAGCCGTCTGCCCTAACGCATGGCTTGCAGTCAGGGGTCTCAGTTGCACGTGGCTCACAAAAGCAGATATGCATAATAAATACTTCTATTTTTCGGTAACTGTAATTATTGTTTTGAGTCCCCATCCACATAAATGGGAGAAATTTAACTGCTGCCGATAAAGGATTCCCATCTTTTACTCTGAGGCTCATGCCTAAGCTTGACAGCCCAAGGCCCCATCTCATCCCGGTGGCATCCCGCCTCGGGCACGCTCTGAAACATCTGTCTCTCGTCTGGTCGTTGGTTGTCCTTCTATGCAGCCCTCTATGGAGACACTCGGATTCCTATCCACATGGCCCCGCAGGTGTGGGGCTTTCCCTGATACTTGTGTGCCACTCTGGTCTCTTAGGAGTTATTCTCCTTCCTTCCAAGACATGCTTTCTTTTGCAGAGTGTTTTTGTCTCCTTGTAGCTCTAGCCAGGAAACAGGCCCATTTTATTGGGGATCCCAGAAACCATCTGCAGGATCCCTGGGAACAAGTGAGGAGTTGGGTTTGTAACTTTCCCTTTGAACACTTACCCTCCTCTCAGAGGTTGGGAATGACTGGCTCAAACTCACAAAGAGCATCCTCCCAAGTCCTTTGTCTCTACCATGCATCTTTTGACATCCTTCCTATGAGCGCAGAGTGGGGCAAGGACCAATCCTGAGTGGGGAGGGAATTGCTGAGGGAAAAAGTGGTGTTGCAAAAATATTATATCGCATCACAGTTGAGAGTGGAACCGTGGGAACACAGAGAGTAGGTTGTCTCTAAAGAAAAGTTATCCCAAGAAAACAAGGAAAAAGGGAAAGAACTGAGAGATGGATTGGAACACTAGTTTATCAGAAAACCCGTGACCATTCCTAGCTTTGGACCCTCCCCCTTAGGTTTGCTTGATGGGAATTTTCACGAGTGAGGTATGTTGCTATTTTGCTACTTTATATATAATGATCAAAATATGCCAGATTTCTAACACATAAATGGATTTTGAAACTCAATAAATTTTCTAATACATGAATGAGTGATTGAAAAAGCCATGGACATAACTGGATATATGAAAGCAGCACAGGGTTAGATGAGCAGAAGGAGCTTCACAAACGTTACTATTTGAAAGATTAAAAGTTAATTTCAGGAATTCACAAAAGGAAAACATAAAAATAAATAAATAAAAAATACATAAAAATTAATGTGATATTTTCTTTTGCTCAAGTGGTCGTCAATAATTCTGAGGACAAATATGTACAAATTAGAGAACTTATTTCATTAACAGGTCTCAGCCAGGCACTTAACTACTGAATGTTGACTCAGGGGGAAAAAAAAAGCCAACAAACAAGGCTGCAGAGCTGTGTTCAGGATACTGGACTTTAACTCTCTGACTGCAGATGATACTACTACAGCGAGCTGACCTGCAAGATGGATCTTTGAGATCAAAGGCTACAAATTATGATGTTTGCCTTTTAAGAAGTAAATGCTACTCTGACTTTCTTAGTTTGCACATTTCAACTGGAAGCCACAACATGGATTCATGGTATCTGCCTTGGTTTCTGTTCTTTGCCATTCTCTTCCTGGTTCCTGGCTTGGTAAGGAAACTGTGTTTGGAAAACAATGAGAAAAATTGGGGGCCTATTGCCTGTGTGTTCATGTTTTTGCTTTTTAGGAATTTCAAGATGTGAATGAAATGAGCGGGGCGAGCTGGGGCAGGCAGGGTCACGGGGTGAGAAGCAGCCCCGTCAGAGACAGAGTCAGGGACATGGACATAAAGTTATATATTTCTTTCAGTTTCATTTTGGTGTAACAAGTTTTCTCCTGATAAGGTGGAAAATGTGCAATTTGAAAAGCATTCCATTTTTTACTGCCGAGTGAAATGCATATTACTGTTGCGGTGCCGTAAGACATGAATGGTGGATGTCACAGGCAAAGCCAGAGCTTACGGTTTTGTAGCATGGGGTTTCTCGTCTGCCTCTTTGTCAGGTTAGACCAATCTTTCTACAGTGACAGGTAGTTTGTATCGTAGACCAACCCAAAGTTTTAAACCTAGGGGGTTAAAAACCAAAATGCCTAGGGGGAATTTTAGTTGTGATTTTAAAATAAGCTATTATATTGAGCTGATATTCTATGAACAGGACCTACAACACTGAGAACAAGAGATGCCATTTAAGACACATTATAACTGTAGTTATGAACAAATACTTGATAATTAAAAAACATTTTTTAATGTTTATTTATTTTTAAGAGAGAGAGCATGAGCAGGGGAGGGGCAGAGGGAGAGGGAGACACAGAATCTGAAGCAGAGCTGTTAGCACAGAGCCCGATGCAGGGCTCGAACTCACAAACCATGAGATCATGACCTGAGCCGAAGTCAGACCCTTAACTGACTGAGCCACCCAGGCACCTCTTGATGACTTTTATCATTAGTCACATTAGCATTCCTCTCTGAGTGTGCCTACGTGTGGCTAATGTGTGAGACAAACAGGCACTTCTTAATATCAAGAGGAGTAACTATCCAACCAGTTCATTCCTACTGCTTGCCAAACAGTCCATATGATTCTTGTATTTAGATATGTAAGCTGTATTAACCTATTTTACAGATAGTCTGAGTTTCTGGAAGGTGAACTGACTTGCTGTGAATTGGTGGAACCAAGCATAAAACCCAGACCTGCTGCCTGCCAGTCCCATGAGCTTTCTCACTAGACTCTAGACTTCCCTAAGAAATTTCTCAGGTTTAAGGGGTGCCTGGGTGGCTCAGTCAGTTAAGCATCTGACTTCAGCTCAGGTCATGATTTCACAGTTCGTGGGTTAGAGCCTTGTGTCAGCCTCTGTGCTGACAGCTCAAAGCCTGGAGCCTGATTCAGATTCTGTGTCTCCCTCTTTCTCTCTGCTCCTCCCCTGCTTGTGCTCTCTTTCTCTCTCAGAAATCAATAAACATTTAAAAAAATTAAAAAAAAGAAATTTCTCAGGTTTACTTC